CTTCCCTCTCTCCTAGCTCTTACCACATGGAGTTGTAACTGGAAAATGGGTGCTACTGTGACCAACATGAGGCACTGGGGTAGAGGCCAGGGTACAGGTAGATAGACCATGTGGGTACTGAAGGATGAGTGCTGGGTATCAGGGACCTCATATTGCATGGAGTGAGAAGGGTGCAAGGATTGGAGACAAATGTGGACCAATACAAGCCCAGTGCTTGAAAGTTGGTTGCAGAACAGCTGTGGAGGGCTAGGCTGGGCGGGACTGGACACAATGGAGACAGGAGTGTGACCCTGGTCAGCCAAGGCAGGCTGAGAAATTTACCCAGCAGCGAGGGAGGCAGGACACCTTGGAAATGGCTCAGATGATTTAGCAAGTTCAACAGAGGGAAGGGCCCTGCAGAAGGCTTCCGGCCACAGCAGTAGAATTAAGATTGTTATTGGACTATTTGTATACCCCCCCCACTCCAGAAAGCATCCCTCCTGCCTCTCCTCCCTCACCCCAACATTCGCCATGGTCTGACACGCAGCCTTGGAGCGTTTGGCCTTGTCCTTCTTTGTCAGAGATGACCTCATTGTCCATCCCGGGCCTGTCTGCCCCCACAGTCCTGAATGCTCATCAAGCTATTTGGGCAGTTGAGGCGGGAGTGGGGGGCCTTCTGACCCATAAGAACTCCCAACTCTATTACTATGCCGAACAATTAATTTTGCACACACACATGTACGGCTAATTTTCAAATGGGTGCAGATGGGACTGTAATGGATCAGCACAAATGCTCACTTCTTGGCCACCATTTCCCAAACACCTACCAGGGATGTGTTTTATGTTTTCTCCCTTTTACTCCTGATAATGCCCTGTGAGTTGGCTATTTCTACTCCATTCTCCTCTGAGGAAACTGAGGCAGGAGTGACAAAGCCACACGTCGTGGTACATGAAGTCAGTCAGTGCCCTTTCCATTCTAGGAGCTTCATTTAAGAGCATCCAAAAACTGGAAATGGGGGTAATGGCTGAAAGAAATGGGAGGTAAAGCCTAGAAAGAAGGCTCCCAGGATGTCGGGTTGGATGGGTCCTTTTATAGTTGAGCTGCTGTGATCTGGAGACGTAAAAAGACTCACCCACCTACTTACGGCCGGATATTCATCACATGCTTAGTCCCGGCCAGCTTGCTCCTTCTGGCGTGCGGATCCAAGGGACTGCATGGCCGCTGAGTTTTGCCTCCTGCTGCTCATCTCTCCACTGCGGGGTGGAGGCCCAGGTGACAGTGGGTGGGGAGAAGTCTGTGCCAGCCAGCACCCCAGAAAGGATTATAGCACACCATTGTCACGCTGATGATTACCCTCCCTCCTTCCATCACCTAACAGCCAAGAGATGAGACCAGCTCATCTTGGTTTTCCCAGGACTTTCCTGGTTTGAACATTGAAAGTCCCACATTCTGGAAATCCCCTCTGTCCTAGGCAAAGTGGGTGGTGTGGTCACCAGAGACCATCTCCACCCTATTGGATAAACCATCCGCCTCTGCTGCTTTCCCTGAGCATTGGCCTCAGCTCCATGAGACTCAGCACAGGGCGTCTGGCCCCAGCCCACACCCCCGACGAACTTCTCCACGCCAGGCAATGCCGAAGAAAGAATCCTCTGCTTACCATGCATTGCTCAACAACCACACCTTCCTGCTTTATTTACCCGGGAGGGGCAGCCCCTAGCCTCTGGCTCCCAGAGGGACACATGGCAGGGAGAAGCAGAAGTGGGGGAGACAGATGTGATGGAAATGGAAAGAGGGGAGGGAAGGGAAGTTGATAAAATTGATACAGGGAGAAGAGGGGGACAGGGAAGGGGGGTATAAAGGAGAGGTGGCAATGGGGGTCCTATAAAGAAGGCAATGGCTGAATGTCATGGCCAGCTGTGGTCCAGGTTCCAGCAAATGTCCACTGGGCAAGATATATTTAGTGGGGTTGTGGGGACAACCTGGCTGAATTTCTACAGGATGGAAAAACAAGAGCCTCCATAGTAGAAGTCATGCCCAATATTTTTCCCACTCAACCCAGAACTTTTATGGTCTCTTATATGTGGCAATTTTTTAAATGTTCATTAATAAGGACGGTGACAATAGTGATATTTATCTCTGGCAATCCAGTCCTCTTAAGTAGGTCTTTCCGAGTCAATGTCAACACAAGGTTGGATAATTATCTTGGAAATTTGAGCAATATGGCCATGAAGGATGAGGAGGTGGCCCCAATCCACTGGGAAACAGAAGCAGGGTTGGCTCCACATGTGGGTGGCTGCTGGGATGGGTAATTGGAGGGTACCTCACTATGCTCTACCCACCCCAATGTACCTATCTTCCTATCAGCCCCACATTATGCACCTGGCTTGCCATTCCTACCCTGGAAATTTCCACCGGAGGAGATTTGAACAAGACTCTCTGCTGGTGGGACCATTTTTATCCTGCTCCTGAGCTTTCAAGGATTGCTGGATGAGCCCTAGAGTAGGACATGTCAGCTCATCAAGTCAACTTAGTGTGTCAATGGAAGATCCAGGGAGTCTGCACTGAGGACACTGAACCTGCTCTCCATGCCACTAGCCATTCAGGGAGGGGACGTGAAGAGGGAGAGTCAGGGGGCTGAAGCAGCGAGTTCTCTCTCAAAGGAGGGCAAGAACAGGAGTATCACCTCTGGAGGAAACTGTCAGGGGACAGCCTAGTCCCAAGCAGCAAAGTCTACAGTTTCTCATATTATTGCCTCCTTGGGGGTGTTATTAAGCATTCTCCCAACCCACGAAAAGGACTCCCTGGTCAAAGATTTCAACTGCCAAGATCTGATATGACCTTTGGGTTTGGGAGAGGCTCTCCATGATGAAGGCCTTGTGGGAAGCAGGAGCATTCTTCCCCAGAGAAGAGGGGGCTCTTTCTACTCCCACCCCAGGACAGTAGGTTCATGAGCATACAACTCAGACTTAGCCAGTTGATGCCAGACTTTGAATCTTAAGGGAGTGGCAGCCAGCAGTGGTTCCTGTTTCTTAATTTGCAGCTATGAACTTTGAATGGTCAAATACTAATCTGCACTAATGTGAAGGTATTTTCTTTAGATGTGATTAACATTGATATCAGCAGATTGTGAGTAAAGCAGATGCCCACCCCCCATACTGTGTGAGAGCCTCACCTAATCAATTGAAAGCTCTAAGGGAAAAAAGGTGGAGATCACCAGAGCCAGAGGGAATTCTTTCTTCTAACTACCGTCCAAGTTGAGTTAAAACATCAAGTCTTCCTGGGTTTTTAGTCGCAGGACTAAAAACTTTCGGCTATTAGAGTCCCCAACCCCCATAATCATAAAAGCCATTTACTTAAATCTCTCTCTTTCTCTCTCTCTCTTTCTTTCTCTCTCTCTCTCTCTCCACACACACACACACACACACACACACACACACACACACACACACACATTGGCTCTGTTTTTCTGAAGAGCCCTGACTAATGCAAAGAGGTTGGGTGAAATTAGCAGTCCTCAAACTTGAGTCCTGTGGGTCTGAACCCACGCTTCATGTCAGAATCACCATGGGAGCTGTTAAAAACCACTGTGTCTGGATCCCAAGCCCAGACCAGTTGAATCAGATTCTCTAGGGATGGGGATGGGGCATCAGTATCTTAAATTCTCCAGGGTCTGTCTCGCTGTGTGCAGCCAAGTCTGAGAACCATGGTTGAGTCACTTTGGAACTTATTAAAACTGCACATTCCTGGGATCCTCCCAGGGCCTATGAATCAGAACATTTGGGGTGGGCACCTGGCATCTCTCCAGGACACAGGTCACCTGCTCTCTAACGGTGGAGAGCTCTGGGCATGGACCACATCTCAGGGTCCTCTTGGCAGACAATCTACCATTCTGTGGACCAAGTTTTGTTTCCTGTTAGGTGGCACAGCTACCATGGAGAGCTTGACTCTTGGCTCTCCTCCACCAGGGGACGTGGCACCTGCCAAGTAGGCTGCCTATGCACCTGGAGGGCACACACAGAGTCCCACTCAGCTTTGTGTGCCAGTCTTGGTGCAGGGCATGGCCTAGAGAGGTGCTCATACATTTTTGTTGCTCCACTGATTGAATAAATGAATGCATTGTTTCATCACCACTGGGCTCACCCCTGCCCAGGTGTTTTTGTGGGTGGCACGCCTCTCCCTTTTCCCAATTCTCCTCTGCTACCATCTGGAAAACTCCTTCCCTTCCTTGTCATCTCAGTTCCCAGCCATTTCCCAGGGTCCAACTTACACCTCCGCCCTTGGAAAGTTCCTCCACCACTTCTCTTTCCTGTCACTGCAAGGCCTGCCATGAGCTCTTCCTGTTAGTTCACCTGCTTTCCTCCCATGTTCCCCCAGGCTGTGGGCAGCCAGAGCGCGGGCCACCTCTAGGGTCCCTCCAGGGCCAGCGCACAGTAGGAGCCGTGAGAGCTCATTCAGAAGGGATCACCGCTGTGTGGTCACGGGGGCCCAGCAACAAGTCAGCTGCTTGACTCTTACCACTCTGTCTGCCGTGATTTGGGGGGTTCTATTATCAGGAAGAAGACTTCAAGCTGTCTGTACATCGTCTTGCACCCTATTCCTCCCAATTCCAGGGCTATGCTCATAACCACCAGACTGTAAGCCCCTGCCCCCTGGCCCCGGCCCTGTGAGTGCAGCAGAAAGGCCTGTTCACGATCCCTGCAAAAAGCAAGAATGAAAGGCAGCATTTGAACCTAGCTGATAGATTACAGCGGAGACCTGAGGGGGTTCATGGTTGGGAAATTACTTCAGGGGAGGCAGGACATTCTAGGTGGGCAGGAAAGGGGAGAGATATACCAGGCACGCTTGTTGCGTGGTGTCTGGTGAGGCTCCAGGAGTCACTACCCCGCTTCCCAGGTGAAATGACTAAGGCCCACAGAGATGAAGTAAGTGAGCAATCTGAGGCATCAATGCTCCTGTGTGACAGGGTCAGGAGTCAAACCCAGGTCTGTGAGATTTCAAGGGGGCACCCATGTGAGGCAGATAGGTACTCACTCCTTCACCCACTCAACAAATACATGTTAAACATGTATGATGCGTTCAACATTGCTGGGCCTGGAGCAGTCAGCCAAGGTCTGCAATGGATTCCAGTCTCATGAAAGGGAAACAATACTTTTAGGCCATGTCATCCTGGAAGGTCATGAGTCTGCTCCTGCCTTCATGGTTCCAGGGTTAGCCCCAGCAGGGCATTGCACACCAACCCCTGGTTGCAGACTAGGACTGGTCTCCAGCTGGGACGCCACAAAGATACCTACACCAGATGCTGTCATCTGGAAAAAAGGGTTGGTGCTACCTAGCTGGCTGAGATCCAGAGGCAGCAGGAAGAAGGGAAGGAGGAAACCCCCTCCCCCCGCAGTGGAGGCCAGCCAAGAGCCCCAACAAAGCTGGCAAGAACCTGCCCCACCTCAGCACGGGGGCCATACCTTCTCCCACGCAGCATTCAGGAGAAAGGAAATCCAGCACCCTGAACAACACCAGAAAGGTCAGGTTCCCCCTCCCCCACAAGTCATACTTTGCATTAGGTGCATTGGGTGCATACATCCCATTGCTCCCTTAAAATTTTATGCCAGACTAGAAGCCCAGAGCAGCCGTGAAGGGAAACAGGGATCTGTGTGGACTGGGGGATGGGATGGACACAGTAGCTTCGGGAAGAGAGAAAACCAGAGATACAACCTCCACCCCCACCATCCTCTTTCCTGATGTTTCTGAGCTGACCCTTTTCCTAGCTGTTCTCTCCTCCCCAGCCTGTCTCAGAGCCCAGCCTAGTTCACCAAAAGTTCCCGTTAGATTATACATCAAGATTTCTGGTTCAGAAAATGTGGGCACGATTTCCCCCGGTAGGGTCTAAGGTCCTTAAGGGCAGGATCATGTCATATTCCTTTGCCTACAGCACAGAGTCTGATGCACAGTAGACATTTAATATATGCCTGATACATGAATGAAACTTTAATCAGGGCGTTGGCTTTTTGGATATTTCAAATGTAAGACCTTTACACAGAAGCACTACATGTACTGTTTAGCAGATTAGAGAGCCTCCAGGGCTCCTTATGAACATAAATGGTGACTCTAGATTCTATGAGTAGTTTAGATTAAACTTTAGATTCCTAATTATTTGCAATTTTGAGTAAAGAAGAACAGATGATACAGCAACAAAAAACCACAAACAACCCAACTCAAAAATGGGCAAAGGATTGAGTGGATATTTCTTCAAAGACACGAGTGCCCAATAAGCATGTGAAAAGATGCTCAACATCACTAATCAGTGGGGAGATGCAAATCAAAACCACAATGAGCTACTACCTTGCACACATTACGGTGGCTACTCTCAGTAAAACAAAATAACAAGAGCTGGCGAGTATCTGGAGAAATTGGAAGGCCTGTGAATTTCTGGATGGGATGTAAAATGCTGTGATTGCTATGGAATCAATACTGCTGTTCCTCAAAAATTTAAGCATAGACTTGCCAGATGGCCCACAATTCCACTTCTGGATATATATACCCCAAAGACTGAAAGCAAATACTCACACAGATATTTGCACACTCATCTTCATAGCAGAATTATGCATAGTAGCCAAGAGGTAGAAACAATTCAAAAATCCACTAACAGGTGACAGGATGAATAAAATGTGGTCTATCCATATGATGGAATACTATTCAGCCTTAAAAAAGGAATGAGGTTCTGGTCCATGTTATATCACGAAAAACCTTGAAAACATTATGCTAATAAGTGAAATAAGTCAAACATTATGCTAATAAGTGAAACAAATCAGCCACAGAAGGACAATTATCAAATTCCACTTAAATGAGAGACTTAGAATAGTCACATTCATAGAGACAGAAAGTAGAAGTGTGATTGCTAGAGCGCGGGAGCTCTTATTTAATGGGTATGCTATTTCAGTTTGGAATGATGAAAACGTTCTGGAGATGGTTGTACAACAACAGAATGTGCTTAATGTCACCAAATGAAACACTTCAATGGTGAATTTCACATAATGTATATTTTTCCACAGAAGAATGACCTCTGCTGACGTCCTCTCTTCCCCCTTCTCCCACCAGGACCTCGGCAATTGTTTCCTTGTTGGTCAGGTTGCCACTGGGGCCCAACATTGGCTCACCTTTCCAGCAGCCTTCCCCTAACCCGTTCCTGCCAGCAGCTGCCAGCTTCCCAGGACTCAATGGCTAGATGCAGGGGTGAGCAGATGAAACCTTTTTTTTTTAATTTTAATTTTTTTTATATTCCCCATACAATGGCAACCCCCTTATTTTGACCCCAATTCCTCCTTTCCCCGCCCCCCACCCCCCATAGAGTGTCTCTGGTTCATAGTTGTTTGTTGATTTTGATATTTTCTTTCTTATAGTTATTCTTTTTCCTGGTCCCTTATTTAAGTTTTCTAGATTCCTGCTATGAGTGAGACCATCCGGTATTTTTCTTTTTCTTTCTGGCTTATTTCGCTGAGCATGATCCCTTCCAGCGCCATCCATGTTGCTGCAAATTGCATATGTTTATCTTTTTTGAATGCTGAGTAATATTCCATGGTAAACCTTAAGGCTGCTCCTACCTACCCCCCACCCCCCGCGCCCAACCAGGGTGCTTGTGGCAAGCAACCAAGCTAAGACTGAAATGGGAAGGTAGAATTGCATTCTCTGAGGGAAGTCTGAGGCGGATATATTTTCAGGATGGGGGGGGGAGGGGGGAGGTATTTTTAGGATGGGGTACTCTTCCCATAACTCCTTAAACCCCACTGCGTGAGCCTCCTGGGGGGTGAGAAGAGAGTCGAGGGGATGCCCAGGAGTCTTTTTTGTTCATGAGCAGCTGGCACCCTCTGGTAGAGGAGGAAGCCGCTCTTGCTCTGTCCTGGGGCTGGGCACCCAGGAGTGTGACCTGGCCAGCACCCTCCTGGCCTTCCAGCCACAGCCACCTCCCTTCTGGAAAGGGAGCCTTAGGTCCCCTTCCCCCTGCCCAGTCACACATCCATTCTCGCTTCAGGATGACCTGAAAGGGAAGTTTATAAGAGGAAAAGGAATGAAAAGGATCCTATTTAACAGCACATACTGGGCGGGGCAGCTTCCTGACAGGAAACGCTGTGGAAACCAGGCCCAGTCTGGCCATGGAAAACTGGTTTGGCTCAGAACTGCCCAGAGTGGACGGGAGACCCAGGGCAGCTGTACATCGCAATTAAACTGGACTTGTCCGAGTTCACTTTCTTTCTTGTCCCCTTGCGGCAAGCAGACACTATAATAATCTGCACACCACAGGGAGAGAAAGGTACCATTTTTTTTTTTTAATTCAGAAAAAAATAACCCACCCTAATTTAGGTGGCAGAGACATAAAAGGGCCCCTGGTTTGGCAAATACGCCGCATATGTAAGCGGCCGAGCTGAGCAGGGTCCCGGCTGCCAGCCACCGGCCTGACTCAGCCAGGCAGGGAGGCCCGCAGCAGTGGGGCCAGGACTGGTTATCTTTATGCTGGGCTGGCGTGTGGGGTGCGGGAAACAATGGGAGCAGGAGAGTCCTTGGGGCTGGGACAGGAGAGGTGTTTCGGGCAGGTACAGACAAGCTCCCCGCAGGTTGCTGTAAGGGGCCAAAGAATTCAAAGAAGCCCTGAATTTGAACTGAAAGAAGGTCTCTCCTCCCCTCTCACCTCTTCCTCTCCTCCCCTCTCCACCCCCCAACAAGACCTTGCAGTTCCCTCTTTGCAGGGCTAAGTCTGGCTGTGGTTGGCCAGCTGGTCCCCACCCGGCTTCCCCGCCTGCTGGCCCACTGGCCAGGCTGTCCTGCTGCTTGGGGTGGGGAGGTGCGGTTCAGCCCCTGCCACGCTGCTGCTCTGCTCGGGGCCTCCATCCTAGCTCATGATCCTTCCACTGTCCCAGTGGAAGTAAAAGCTCCTTAGGGTAAAGGCCCTTCTCCTTGCCTCTGTCGCCTCTGGATTGGCTTGCAGCCAGGGGCAGGTGACACTACCTTTTGGAATGTGAGCTTTCTAGAGTATAGACTCCCCCCCCCTTTATTTCTTAATCCCTCCCCAAGTTTGGTGACCCTCTAGGCCTCTAGCAGCGGGTCTGGCATAGAGTAGGGTTCAGTGAGTGTCTGTCATATGAATGGATAAGTACCACCGAGCACCAAGGGAATCCCCCAAAGAGAGGACAGCAGACCCCCATGAGGATAACGATGCACAGAGGCTGGCTCAGTGACATCCTTGTGTAAACAGAGGGTTTCCATGATATCGTAGATGAATTAAACCCAGACTGGTGCTGGGACAGAGTCACTGTGTTCCAAGCCCCTGCAAACTTTCCAGTGATGGAATGTAGAGGGGAATCAGGGCTTACTCTCAAAGATGCTTTCTACAGCCAGCATCGAATATAGAATCAAAGCATTTTTAGCAGAAGATCTCTGAGCTCTGCAGCCTGGAAATAGAGAGGAAGATGCCACTGTGGGGGACACTCAATTCCTCAAAGGGCTGGAAACCTCGGCGCCCTGCTGTCTACAGTCCTTCCCAAGTCAGGGGTGTTTCCATGTTGGTTCACTTAGTTATTAACATACTGGCTCCTTTTTTTTTTCACTTCTCAAATTTTCCTTGACCTTTTGTCCCCTCTAGTTAATTAGACTTACATCTTTGCCAGCATCAAAATAGGTCATCTATCAAAGTGCCCAGAGAAGAAGGAGGTGGGTCAAAGTCCAGGGAGAGAAAAGAGGTGTGTTTTCCATTTTCCTGGTAAACAGGACTCTCCCGTGTAGGTGTTTCCAGCACTGCTTCTCCCGCCCCAGGAGGGCTAAGGTATCATCCTAACACATATTTGACCTTCATCGGTGTGTGTGCTGTGGAGGTTGCACAGCTCAACAGCTCAACACACTTCCTTTTGCAGCCATTCTCTCCCCTCCCAAATGCCCACCTTGTTCTATGGGTGATGGGGGACATAAGAGGGATCCCTGGTTTTAGTTTCAGTTCCTTGCATTCTTGTCTGGGGTGAGGAGGTGAAGTGAAAGAGCTTCTAGCCTGGAGGCAAGAATGAAGCAAGAAAGACTCAGCAACAGTGTGCCCAGAGAGGAAGCTGGAGTACCAGGGACCTGTTTGGTGGCTGGCATTTCAGGGAACCAAGAGTGCTCTCCCCCGACCGTGACCCTGATTACCAGTCAGTGATAGTTACACACTCCAGGTTAATTTATTAATCCTACTGCTACCACCCATGGGATCTGAGGTCTTAATCTGCAAGGAGTATACACCTGCGTCCAGTGGGCGAGGGACAGAAGAATCCTTCCTGCTCATTCCCAGAGTCAGTTTCCTCTTCTCTGCATCTGAATGGGAGGGTGTTCAGGTCAAACAGGGGTGCCTAGAACAGCCCCACCTGCACCATCAGCTAATCCCCTAGCACCTGCAGAAATCGGAAACACTAACTGAAGAGGCTCCAAGCCTCTCCAGAGACCCCAGCTGTCCTCTGCAGACAGAACACATAATCCATCTCCAAGCACCTAAGACAGCGCCTGGCACTAGAAATAGGTGCTAAAAAGGAATGTTTGCATCCTGACCCTTCCCTCCCTTAACCCCTTCCTCCCCAAGATAGGTTCAGGCAGATTCAGCAAATGCCCACTGAGTTCCTTCTATGCAACAGATGCAGGCAGGGCCCTGGCTAGGTGCTTCAAGCAGGAAAGGCAGACATGCTGTCCTCAAGAAGGGGGCAAGGAGACAGGACCCCACTTAAGTGGCTCCTGTGTCACAGGTACTTTGTGAGGTACTTACTCCCATAACCTGATTTAATTTCCACAACAGTTTGTGAGGTAGGTGACTAGTTTCCTAGTTTCGTTGATGAGGATACAGAAGCTTAAAATATAAATGAAGGAATTGAAAATGTAGTAGCTGCCATAATAGGTTCTTTATGCACAACCATAAAGTTAAAAGTGGTGAGGACCCTGAAAGAAAATCAGAGAAAGTGCTCAATACCTAAAAGAGGGGACGGGGAGGGGGATCCCCTGGGGGACAGGTCAAACTGATGGGGGATCTGGTTGAGAATCCTCACCTTCCCACAGGAATGTCTACTTGAGGTGAGGTATTGCTGAGGAGAGCTGTGCTTCATGACTAGATACTTGTAAAGGAGAAGAAAATAAAGGAAAATAATACATGTGCATCCCTTCCACACGCTGGGCACAGATTTTACGTAATCTCACTCTCCTCTCCATCACCCTGCTGGGGGCCGGGGTGGGGTACAGTGTGGACCCATTTCAAGAATGAGAAAAGAGGCTCAGTGACTCACTTAGGGTCTAATGCAGTTTGCTAATGCAGAGACATACGTACACTTCCTGCTGCCCACACATAAAAGACAAGCAGGGGAGATCTGGCTTGAAAATCAACTCCATGACCCACATTCAGATTTCATGAGTTGGTGGCCTTGGACAGGTCAATTTACCAACATGAACCTCAATTTTCTTTTTTTCCCTTTTTAAAGATTTATTTATTTATGCATGCAAGAGCTGGGGTACAGGCCAGAGGTGTGGGAGATGGGAGGACTCACCAGAGACAGAGCGGGGAACAGAACAGGCAGATTGACTGAAATACACTGCTGAGGGGAGCAGCGGGTGAGTCGGGAGAGGTCTGCTGCACCATGTGGGTTTCTCTCAGGCTGGGGATCGAACTCGCGCTGCAGAGGCTATGGACAGCTTCACAGCACTGTGCTCAATCCCTTGCGCCACCAGGGAGGCCCCATGAACCTCAATTTTCTTTAAAAGAAAATATAAGTATTGGGAGGCCAGACCAGTCTGAGTGTGAAACTAAAAGAAGTTCGACTGAACAACAGTCACTTTAACAACATAAAAATTAAATAGATATTTTCTAGTCTTGCCTTTATTTTTTAAGCTGGTGGATTGTCACTCACTAGATTGAACAAATGACCCACAATAATAGGTTACCATCTACAGCTTGAAAATACTGCCCTCCAGAGCATCTACCCTGGAGCTGTTTCTGATGCCAAACAAAAATTCTAGAAGTACTTTGGTCTCAGATCAGCTTTCTTTCCTTCTCAGTGTCCCCTGTCCTATCCTAACTCCTTTCTCCTGCCCCTTGAGCTCCAGAGAACTGAGTTTTCTCCCCTCCCAAGGGCACACCAGGATCCGAGAGGACAGGCACCTGCTGCACACAGTGTGGCTTCCCATCCGCCACAGATCCCGGTTTCCATGGGCCACTTGCCAGGATGTGGGAATCCCTATTTTAATGAAATGCTTCTCAGTAACACGATATGCTGTAACCGCTCGATGGCCCAAGTGAACAGCAAGACACATTTCAGAGCTTTGAAAAGATGAAGCAGAAGAAATTCCCCTGATTGTAAACGCTACCTGTGTAAGGAAATCCCATTGTTCCTTTTGATTATGAAGTTATAAAGAACCGCATTTGAGCAGCCCGTCAGGAACTTAGTTTTCCTTTTGTCTTAAAGAAAGGGAGGCCTTCAGTGTCCTCGGCTGGAGAGCCAGATGTGCCCTAACCCACATCCTCTTGGCCGAAGCAGACCTTTAAACACAGCCCAGGTATCCACTGGGAGGTGGCTGCAGGGACAGCTTCATCCCCTACTCCTTCCTGCCAGCGGATGGTGGAAGGTTGCCACCCGAGAGCTACAGAAGCTTCTGTGGACAAGAGGTCTGCTCTACATCCAGGTTCCTGGCCCATTACCCAGGGAGGATGTCTCTCTGTGCTCAAGTCTGGCATGGGGGAGGTCAGAAGGGGGTGTGTGCCCCTCCCCAGAGCAGTCAAGGAGGCTTGTGACAGGAGTTGGGGGCAGGCCTAAGTCCAGCTCAGGCTCAGCTTTCAGAAGGCTGAGGAAGGGAGTTGGCATCTGGGAGCAGGGGTCAGAGGGCAAGCAGGAGTCCTGCCAAATGAGTGTTGTCCCCTCCCTGCTGGGCATGGTGACCTCTGCTGGTTGACCTGTGTTCTACTTTATACTGCCTTGTCATATTAGATGCTACCCCAGTTTGGCCTTAGGTTACCCCCTAGGAGAGGTGGCAAGATGCTGTCAGGGTCCCAGCTGGCCTCCCTTCCCGGGCCCCTCTGAGCTGGTTCATGGGGGGCATCACACTTGCCCTCCACTGGGGTGTTTAGCAGATACCTGGAGACTAACTACAGTCAGCTGAGAACCAGGAATTGCTCAGTTCCCACCAACATTTCCCCTCAGCCCCAGGCTTATGCAGAATCAGACCTTGCATGGTCAAAACCATGAACTTCCGAGGCCAGGACAAAGGCCTCAGCACATGGGTGGGCTCCACATTGTGTGTGGACTCTCGGGCATCAGGACCTGAGAAGTCTATCGTCTGCAGCAGCTGGCAAGGCAGAGTCAGAGGTGAGGGCTGCTGAACAGGGTATAGCATCTGGATGCCTAACCCCCTTCCTACTGTCTCCCAAGCCTCCCTGACTGGCTATGCCCCTCACTCCACAATCAGACCTTCATTTCTTTGGGGCAGCCAAACCTGGACTTGAGTCATTAAAATCTTATCAGTCATTTACATCTTAGAATGAATGAGTTTATTCAAATCAACCCAGCTGAACTCAAGGCCTACCTTGTGTCAGGGTCTCTGCTGGGAATTAGGGGGCAGGGAAAGGGAAGAAGACATAGTCTTTGTTTTCAAGAGGCTGCAGTCTAGACCCCTGGCCCTTTCCTGAGAACAGGCATGGAGGAAGAGACAAAAATGAGGAGGATAAGAGAGCGAAGGAACCCATTTTTCCCCCAAGCATGTCTTGTGATACACACCCTAGGGAGCCATCACATTTCTCCCAATAGAATTTTCCTCACCGGGCCTCCCTGGTGGCGCAGCGGTTGAGCGCTGGGTTGCGAAGCTGCCCGCGGCCTCTGTGGCGCCGGTTCGTTCCCCAGCTGCTCCCCAGCAACCGGAGGAGGGCCCCACATGGCGCGCAGACCTCTCCTGCCGCCCGCTGCTCCCCTCAGCAGTGTCCTTCGGTCCTTCTGCCTGCTCTGCTCCCTGCTCTGGCTCTGGTGAATTCTCTCACTGTCCCGCGCTTCTGACTGTACCCAGTGCTTGTATAAACAAGAAAACAAACAAATAAATAAATAAATAAATAAAGCATGCCTCTATTAAAAAAAAAAAAAAAAAGAATTTTCCTCACCAAGGAAGTTTGGCAACTGCTAATCTTATCATGGATTTGTACTCACTGAACAAACCAAGCTGACAAGGGGTAGAACACATAAGAACATAATCCCTGGACCGGGGTTTGGATTCCTGCTCTGCTCCTTCTTGGCTGTGACTCTTAGCAGATGACTTGACCTCTCTGTGCCTCATTTTTCTCTCATCTGCCAAATGGGGAGAGTAAGAACAATGCCTACATCCTAGAAATTGTTGTGAGGATTAAAGGGCTGGGTGATGTGAGTACTTAGAACAGTGCCTGGCTGGCAGGAAGTATGAAATAGACATTAGCTAGCAGGAGAATCTAATAGTAAATCTTTTCAGGGAGAAGCTGAGTGCTAACTATGCAGAGCTGGACTTTTAGGTCACTGGGAAGAATGGTGGTCATGGACTGATTCTGGGATGCCTGATGGATGTCTGTGGTCTTCAGAGACCCCTCCCTCCCTTGACCAGGGGCCTGGCTTGTGTCTGGGGGAAGGTTCAGTGATTCTGGCATCACTGGAGGCCTCTGAGGGCCTCTGGCTCCTTCTCCAAGATTGCCTGCTGCTGCCCTGATCTCAGCCAGAGGTCAGCTGAGCGATTGGACTTGCCTCTGGCTCCCCAGGGCTGTGCTTTCTCTCTGCACTAGCCTTTTTTGAACATTGCTGGTTGATTCATCTTAGAGAACTTGAATCATGTCTTTTTCTTGCTCTATCACCTTTGACAGGTCATTAGTATACCTAGTATTAGTACCAGTACTCAATTCACCTGTGGCATGGGATCACAATTCCTTAACCTGGCATTCACTTTGCCCCACCTGCACAAGGCTTTCCTTTTTCTCATTGCTGTTCCCACGTGGTAGGCACGGAGCACTCACTGAGCTCTGGATGAAGGGCCTATGCCTCCTGTCCTCGTCCTCCTCATACTAGATTTTTTCCCTTTCTATTCTTTAAAACTACCATTTTTTTACCGGTCTTTCAGAAAGACTCAGAACAGCAAATTTACATAAACATGTAGAAAAATAATTGTGTGGTCACCAGCATTAACATCCTCTTCCTCAAGGTTTTACTCTGAACATCCACCTTCAATCACACGAAACCTTGGACCACGCATAAGCTACGGAGTTAAATAGGTTCAGCAGAGAGAAGTGGGGGCAGTGAAAGCATAGAGATTTGGCCTGTGCCTTCCTGCAGTCTCACAGACCAAGAGGAGCAAGAACACAGGTGCAGAAAAGCAAGCAAGGCTCCAGTGGCCCTGGATTCTACCCACTGAGAGGCGCTCTCTTATGTTTTCTCTACAGGAGCTTGGAGGAGAGACCCACTGCTCTGAGGTTGGGCGGGCAGAGGAACTCAGTGTTGAAGGATGGACAACCATTAAGGATGGACAAGTTTTAGGCAGGGAAGGGGCTGGGCACATGGTCCTTCAAAAAAAAAAAAAAACCTTTATAAACAAAGGAACAAAGAAATGGACTACAGAAGATGTGCTCAGGTCTCATTTTGGTTAGTATGATGCTTGACAGAAAGAAACTATCTTTCTTCGATAGAGATTCGAAGAATCAAGGGGTCAAATTATGGAGCTTCTTCAATACCAGCCTAAGGAATTTGACCTCAATTTGATAGGCAATGGAGAGGCATTGAAGATATTTGGATAAAGAGTGATGGGTTGAAAATACAATTTGCCTGGTGGTGGGGAGCTCGCCACCTCCTAATCACAGGAGGAGAAAAAGTAAGTGCTTTGAAAAGACTGAAGTCCCAAACCCATCATTCCAATTAATTGGACTTGTCTGGGTTGCTGGTTAAGGAGGACTCCTGCCTGCTGCCCAGACCAAAGAGTCAGATGCAGAAAGAGGAACGCTGGTGCTTTCATTTCCCGACTGCTTGGGAGATGCTGATGTCCCAGAGCAGCGCTTCTCAGGAGGCCCCATGTTCTCTGACCCTTGGGCATTCTGGTTCAAGAGGCCTGGGCAAGGCGGCCTAAGAGGCTGCATTTCCAATCAGCTTCTGGGTGACACCTATGCTGCTGGTAGACAGGGGGATGAAGTTTTGCCCTAAACCTGAACCATTGCTCTCTATCCTGGGAAGTTTTTTTTTTTTTTAAATTTGCTTTCCAGGAAGGAGAGCAACTGACACAACAGAATGGAGAGCAACTACTCCTGCCTAGTTCATCTCTGGGGTGGAGCCAGTCCTGTGTGCAGTTTAGCTTCCTAAGTGTGTCCAGTGTACAGCCATGTAGAGAGACCCTGTCCCGAATTCTGACAGGTGAGCAGTCTTCTCTGCCATGCCACGGCGGGCCAGGGTGGGCCCTTGATTCAGAGCTGGATGCAGGCGGTAGGAGGGTGGCCAGTAAACATTGCACTGCAGTGAAGTGGGCAGCCCCAAGCCCTTTCCACTCTTGGCCAGCAGCCGGCATTCGGGAAAGCTCCCATGGGGTGGGACATAAGCATGGAAAATGACGAGAGCACACCCACATCCAGAGACAGCATGTGCTTTTTCCTATGTGCCCCCGGATTTTCTCAGGTCATAAAAGGGAAAGGCAAGGCAGTAGCATACACTAGGCTGCTCCATGTCCCCTCCTTCTGTCACTCTGTGCTGGCATATGAATCATGGGTGCTTGGGAAGGGGAGCCAAACATACTCTGGATGGCAGGAACGCCACCAGCTGGCTGGGGGGCTTTCTCTTTGGTGTTTGGCTACCTGGCCCATTCTGGGGGTTCGAATCTTTATCGAAGTGAGTTTTTTTAAATTTTTTTTATGTTTAATATATTTTATTTTATATAATTCTTACATCATTTTTCATTTTTGCACAATGTAAGCATTTTCATTTTGGTTATATTCCCCATACAATTGTACCCTCCTTATTGTGACCCTAATCCCTCCTCTTCTCCCCCCTCATGTATCTCTGGTTTATAGTTGCTTGTTGATTTTGATTTTTTCTTTATTATAATTAGTCTTTTTCCTGGTGGTATATATACACAATGGAATATTACTCAGCAATCAAAAACGATAAACTCATGCCATTTGCAGCAACATGGATGGCGCTGGAAGGGATCATGCTCAGCGAAATAAGCCAGAAAGAAAAAGAAAAATACCAGATGGTCTCACTCATAACAGGATTTAGAAAACCCAACTATCGAAGAGAGCTTTTGCTCAAGATGCTAAAAGTTGTTTGCAAGGAACACTTACTGAATTCTAGGAGTAATTCTGAACTTTCCTGAACGATCTTGGTCCCCAGGAGAATATGCTGAACTGAACTTACAGATGAGCAGGAATGAATGAGGTTGTCTCTCAGTTGCTGCAGTCCTGAAGCCCCTGCCGGGCGGAGCATGCTCAGTAAGAGGCCTCTAGTCCCCTTCCAAAGCCTTCACTTCCAGAAAGGCTGCCCGCCAGGCCACTCAGCTGCAGGGTGGGGGTTTCAGGCTTGCTTACCCCAGTCAGTCACCCTCACCTCTCTGTTATGAGAATCAGGCGGACCCACCTTATCTCTGTATCTTGTTGGATGACTCCCACCATCATGCTCTTTGCTCTCTGAGCTCCCACAGTAGGTAGGGCTCTGGGTGCCCCATATTTCTCTGTGCAGCTTCTCTCTGCAGCTGTGTTTTGCAATAGAAATATACTGCCAGACACAAATGCAATTTAAAATGGTCTGGTAGTCACATGCAGCAGTAAGATGACCCAGGCAAAATTAATTTTAATATATTTTAATCTAATGTATCCAAGATAAGATTGTTTTTAGATGTATCAATCCTGAGATATATGACATTGTTTTGTCTGTTTGTTTGTTGGTAGTAAGTTTTGGCAATTAGGCAATTTACATCACCCCAGTCTTTGGCATGGCCACATTTCAAGGGCTGGAGAGTTACAGTTAACTATGTGGCTATTGACTCTCTAGACTGCAAACACTTGGGGGAGTCATTCATTAGAGCCCAGTAACACATGAGATGGGGAAGCTGCAGGAAACCTTAGCACCACCAGGTCCAACTCCTTCACTTCCCAGGTGTTTCGGAAGCAGCCTGAACCCTGAGGGAGTGACTCACTCTAGATCACAAAGAGACCAGGGGGGTCTAGCCAGGCTAGAGTTCTGTAGGGTAAGGAAAAATGTCAGGCTTTTCTGCCCTCCCGCCATCAGGATAGATAATGGATCCTTGTGGTCCTGAATGCACGCCTGACGGCGGGCACCAGGAGTAGGGTGTGGGCATAGGTAGATGGGATTCACCTGGGCTAAGACTGTGCTTATAAGGGCGGCGTCACGGGGACGCCAGGAGAAGCCAAGAATGAACAGAAGCCGAGAGAGAAGCAAGAAAAGTAGAAGCCGAGAGAAGGCCAGAGAGCCCAGAGTGAAGACCTGCTGGGGGCTGGGAGGACTGCCAGCCTACCCAGCCCCCAGCACCCCTGCCTGCCATGTACCTGGTAATCCCAATAAAGACCTGCAAAACCACTGAGGACTCTGACTCCTCCTTTACCCGGTCTGCTGGATCAGAAAACCTGCACTGTGGTCTTCCTGCCCCTACAAGTTCTTATCTTCCAAACAAGATCCTGGTATTTTTCTGTGTGCTGTGCTGTGCTGTCTCTGTGAGGTCTCCTCTGAACCAATGCCAATGGATCAGTGCCCAGTGATAACTTAGGGGCCACTCAATGGCCACCATTTATCCATGTGACAGAGTCCTGTGCCCTGAGTGTGAACACAGGCTGGTGCCTCCCTTTGCCCCCCACATCTCCAGTAGTGGGTCAAGCCAGGGAGAGACAAGGCCTGGGAGAGGAGAAGAACCCTGGCAGGCAAAAAGGGTGTGGATGCCAGTCAATCAATTCTCAGCAGCAGAAGCCATTCCCAGAATCATGAATGCAATGATCACCCACAATGAGGGAATCAACCCTCAAATCAGCCGACAGGGCCTGTTTCTCCATCGTGGGTCCAGATATCCAAGTGGGGCCTCCACTTCCCAGACTCACTGAGTTAATCCACACTCTGCATCCCCGCTGCAATCTATGGAACTCTGGACACCTTCTATACTCGGAGTCCCAGTGCTGCCAAGCTTCTCTCTCTGGTGAGCTCAGACGTGCGCCCATCTGCTGAGATGCATGCCTTGCAAGGAGCAGCCTTGCTGTGCCCAAGCCTGTTTATGCCAGTGGCGCTTGTTATTTCACAATTTAATTAAATATAATGTAAACTGATGAAATAGGATAAAAAGAAAGGAAGCTGAAGGTTTCATGCAAATGAAATTGATAGAATCAAAGGTGAGTTATTGAAAAGAAATGCTGTTGATTTTGGTATAAATGAGATAATGAAATATTGGAAAGCAGACCAGAAACCCCGAAGGATGTTGCATTCAAGCATACTTTGCATGTATCAAAGTTCTTACTCCACTTCAATAAACCCATTGTAGAAAACTCAGAAGACCCCTTATTTGTGGGGATGGTTGTATGCAAGAAGAAAGGTGGAGAAGCTCAGCCACCAGACCCTTAGGCAAAAAAAGGCCTTTAACTGACCTCAAATGAATGGGAAAGAAAGATACATTTATATGCTCTAAGTTAAAATATTTAAGGTATTCATATACCTTTGGTTTCCAATGGCTTTTTAGGGTTGACTATTTACTTCAGGCTCTGATCAAGTAGATAAAGGTAGATGGAGTGAAAATTTTGATCACTGGGGGAGGTCCATGAAATACAAATGGTTTCAAATGAATGCTGTATGGGTTTTGCATTTTAATACAGGGCTCTCTTAACGGCCAGAGATCACTCAGAAATAGGGAATTTAGCCAAGAGAATTTAATGTGGACTCGCAAAGAAACTCATGAATAACAAGAGCAGGAAGCTGGTAGAGCACCTGGACAGGAGATGGTATTAACTGAGCACCAACTCCAGTGCTGAATCCTAGCGGGGCTACCTGGGGAGGCTGGAGCTGCAAAGAGTATTTCTCAGAGACTGTGGAGATGCCACCTGATTTAGAGAGGGGGAGGTAGGGGGCAGATACCTGACTTCTTCCTTCCTCCTGCCCTGAGGGAGGGTCTCCCACTGACCAAACTTTGTCAGAAACCCACTGGCAAGGGAGCCTGGTCAGTGTAGGTGGCAGGTTGGTGTCTAGGATGCAGAGCAGATCAGGGAAGAAGTGCATTGGAAAGCGGACTAGCCCGGCCTCCTAAAATCCCAAACTCCCCAGAGAATGACTCAGAAGGGGGAATTTAAGACACTAGCTGATGATAGAAAAGTGACAGTGGGGAGATCCTGTCTTCTTGGTGCCTTACTATTGTGCTACAGATGTGACTGCTGTTCTGAGCAGGGCCTCCAGAAGGGGAGGTGACAAATACCAAGTCTTTGCTAGGAGGTAATACCAGGCTGCACCCGGCTTCTTAATTTTTCAGACTTTTTTAGTTGAATAGACTTCTTATTTATTACAACCCAAGTTCAAATTAT